CCTAGTACAAAACCCTACACATCTATAATTTTGCTATGAACTGGTGAAACCGATCTCTGTGTTTATGTGATTTACATTTCAAACTGCAGTTTAAACATACAGCTCAGAAGCCAAGACCCACTTCTATCTCCTTGTCAACCCCCAGATAAATGGCTTTGTGACAAGACAGTGAAACTTTGGCCATGTTTTGTTCCAAAGCTCTTCAGATCTTGATTTTCACATTTAAGGACCCACACTGGCTCTAACACAGGACTCTATTTTCCTCTCCAAGCCAGCTGGGTCTCTCATCCTAAAAGAAAGGAGTAGCATCCCGAGACTAAGCAGACCTATTATTTCTAATAAATGTGCTGGAGTTCCCTTTTTTCTGGCTTTTTCAGCCCACCTTAACCTCACAAGAGTTCCTCCAGGAGCGCTGGGGTTTTCTGAGATCCTGAACCTTGCTGACCCACAGGAAACCCCCAGGACATGCTTGAACATAGCCTGGATGCAAAGAGTGAGACACATTTTCAGTTCTGGAAGATCCTTAACCTCACAAGTCACTGAAAAAAATCCCTTTCCTTCAAACCTGAAGGAATAGTTGTTTCTACCTGTTGACCAATTCCCTAAAAGCTTTACGAGGAAAATGCTAAAGTCAACTGAGACCTCCTGAAACTTTTACCTCTTTAACCTCTCCCAAATTCCCATATTTGCAACAACTCCTACTGCATGGAATGGGTCAGATACAGCAGCTCTGATCAAGGACTGACCTGTCATATTCCCTCCCTGTTAATCCCACTGACCTCAGGGGAAATTACAGCAGGAATTAATCAGCTCCAGAGTCACACCAATCTCTGCCATGAGTCTGATAAAACCTCACAAGGAGAGCAGCATTTATCATATAAACCACAGAATCAAAATGCCCCTCCTTATATTTAAAGAGAAAATGATATTTAATCATTTAATTAAACAGTTTAAGGCTGAGACAAAAATCAATGACAAATTCCAGTTTGAAATCTACTATGGCTTTTTTAGCTTCTTTGTTGTTGACAAGCAGTGCAAATTCACCTTTCTTTGGGCTTTTAATGAAAAATAAAAGACATGACATACCATGAGTTGCATTGTCTGAACAATCAAGCTAAGTACAGAACACAATGGCAGCACTACTAATTATTCCTCCTTCTGCTAATTTAGAGCCTAACCTTAACATTACTTTGCAATGCCATTTTTACTGAAGGGAATTGCTCTTCAGTTGAATTCCTGTCCAACATGCTGGCACAAATTGTCTTTGCAAGGAATCTGTACTTTTGCCTTTGTGATCCAACACTCTTGAAAGGTTTTAACTAATTCATTACAGTCGTAGAGAATGCTGTAGAAATAGCAGATTTTCTTTTTTAAGCTCCATTTCAGAATAGAAACACCATTAATTAAAAGACCTTTTTGAAACGGCATTCCTTATCTCTTCCTACCACAACCAGCACCCAAGAACAATGTGAACTGAGAGACACCTCCTTTCTTTTTTTCCCCAGCATGTTTTCTGCTTCTCTTCTCATAAAAAGTGAATTCAAATATTTCACATGACAGCAATGAGAGAGACTTTTAGCACAGGGAACCCACAAGGAGTGCTGAATTCCAGCAACCACCAGTGTTTGAAGGCACAACATTGCCCTTCTGTTGGGCACTGCAAAGTCCCAGTTTCACACTGGAACAGAAACCAATTTAAGGTATTCAGAATAGTTTTATATGTAATGCACTCAGCTACAAACCCAGAAAGTTTGAACAGAGATATCTCAAACTGCAGACAAAAAATCTTCTACTTGCAGAACCACTAAAACAACTCAAAGAATCTGAACTGTTTGGTTATACCTTCGCTGGGGACTATTTAGGAAGTTTGGTTTTCTATTTCTCTAGTGGAAAATATTTTCTTTTAAAACCAATATATTGAGCTAATCCCTGGAGGAGGGAGCGTGGCTGGGAGGAAAGTTTGGGTCTAGAAGGTTTCTATAATCTGACCAGCAACTCACTGAAACACTGAAGGAAGAGACCTTTGGAGGTCACCTGGCCCAGCCTTACACTCAAAGTAAGACAACCACCAGCTCCAGATCAGATCAGCAGCTCAGCCACAAGTCCCACACTCCCTGTGAGGGAGAAAGCCCCACTGGCCCTGGGTGACACATCCCAGTGCTCCAGCTGGGGAACAGGAATTTATTTCCTGGTGTCCTCCCTAAACCACCCAAACTGTGATGTGTGGCCATGGGCTCCTGTTATTTATTATCTGGCACTATTGCCAGGAGCAGCCCAGACTCCTCAGCTGCTCTTTGTAGGTCCCCTGAACCATTTTTTTACCCCTTTGACAGACCCTTTCCAGCTTCATATCTCTGTTGATATGTGTCAGAATATGAGGTATTCATGATCCTGAGATTGTAGAAAGTCTCTGTCTGTCAGCCC